CCTAAAACGAAAACTAGCGCCAATAATTTAATGATTGAAATCTTGGGGAATGACAATCTTTAACAAGTATTAGAGCAAAACAAGGCGATATATTGCTTATAAATTGATTTTCTGACATTATCAACTATTCTTCCTAGAAGGAAAGAAAATAATAAAATATTTGGTCTAAAAAAATGTACATTTTGGACGGGAACTCCGAAATATACATTTCAAAATAAAGGGACATCAAATAAAAATATTGTAATCATATTCCTTCTGTTATTGTCCATATGTACCTAATTCGATTGCAGCTCTTAAAATGCTTTATAATGTGGTGTCAATATGCTATTCGACGATACCAATCAAACTTTTGTCATATTAAGAGCGTTTTTTAATAGAAAATTATATTAAAGATGTAATTTACAATCTGCGACTCGTATCTAAAATATTTTCGTATGACGAGTGGCAGTTTTACAAAAATAATAAATATTCTTTTATTTTCGGCGTTCCATGGCACGTAAAAATAGTTTTACATTCTTTTACTTTACATCCGCCTTTAAGGATCAAATCCGAAGAATTACCAGCTGAAAAATGTTGCAAAAATCTTCACAATATCTGCTATATGAATTCTGTACTGAAACGAAAACTTACACTAGTAATTCCTTGTAACGCATTTAATGCCAGTTCGAATAAAAATGAGAGTTGAGAATCGTTTACCTGTATTGCAACAAACAAGGCTTTCATTCAACCATTCCATAATTAAGGCTTACATGACTTATCAGACTAATATTTTAGTTTTCTGTTCTAGATCACATGTATTCTTACAAATACTTTGGTATTTGTGACATGTTTCAAACCTATAAACAAACCTTTTCTCTTGTTCTCTGTCTACCTTTTACCAAACCAACAAGAAATGATCTTATACGTAAAAAATACAAAAGAAACAAAAAAATCCAATAAGAATGGTAGAACAAATCAGAATACTATGAAAATGGCTCGGAGTTGCATGACTAAAATGGTTTATGGCGAAGACGGTTGGTAGATGATGGCATTAGCGTCGCCTTCTACTTATGGCCCCGTTAAGGTTCCTACAAATGTATGTGGCTACCTTTGTATATAAACATGCATATGTATGGTGGTTAAGATTAAATTACCTGAGAAAAAAGCACCGCCTGTATCTCATTCAGTTGTGTCTTCCATCAAACAGCTGCTTTGTTTTGTCAGTCTTTTTTTGTTGTCGAAAAGTTCATCACACGAGAAAAAACACACTGACATCTAACACAATGATCGTACTTGTTGTCTTTACACTCACTTCAATTGTAATGGGTTTCTTTTCCCATCTCCTCTTTCACCATTAATAATTTCCATGATAATTAGATTTTGATTATAAGTTTTATTTTCTCCAATTCTTTTTTGTTTTCTTGACACTTAACACAACACATTGGATTAAATTTTATTTTATAGATTATGTATTTTTGTTACTGCCTACATCATTTACTTAATTTTGTTTTGTTGTAATCTCTCACTTAATGCCACCGTCACGTTTCAATTGTTTTGGTTGCTGTTGGGCAGTTAGTTTTGAGAGACGGCACGGAAAAGGTCTTTAACCAAACAGCTGTTTTCAAATTAAACACTTTTAATTTGACAGTTCATTTTAACGGCGTATTTGTTTGTATGTGCTCATTCTCTTGCTGTCTTTCTCTCCCACATTTAAACCTGTTTTGAGTCTCAAATAAAGTAATCCACCATCGTAAAAACAGCTGGCTTAACAAATGCCAAGTGTTGTCAATTTAGAAAAAATAGCAGAAAATCGTTTAAAAATCAAAGTGAATAATAACGAAAAAAACACTTATAAGAATCAAGAATGAAAATAGAGTGCTATATTTTTGTTTACGAATCATAAAAGTACGTTTACATAGTTATTAAAGTACTTTTAGATATTGTAACTGATAACCCACTTGGATTTGTGTGTTACATATATCCTTAGGAGAATATACACGACGCTCAGCTAAGCAAATACCATATTCGCATTATAAAATAAAAGGACCTTGCAGAGCTACTAGCAGATTTATCCGAGTTTGTACGACTTCTGCCACATATAGCCCTAACGGTATCTCCCTATATTCGATATTTTTGATGATTTTAGCGACATTATTCACCGGAATTGTTTCAAATTTTGTATTTGAAGTTTGTAATGGATACTTCAGCCTAGGACAGAAAATTGTCTGTGCAGATCCACATCTTCATACAGCCCCCGATATTCGGTATTTTGATGATTTTAGCGACATTATTTATCGAAATTGTTTTAAATCCGGTATTTGAAGTTCGTAATGTATCATGGTAGAAGAATATAGGTAGACGCGTCGACACAGCTGCTGGGACAATGAACTGTCAAACCAATTTTGGAATTGAAAATGTTGAATGAAAAATTATTTAAATTTGTAAAAATTGTTGAAAAACACTAATTATAATAGCCTCCGAATGACGTAGTATAAGAAAATATACAAAAATCTATTTATATTTGAAAAAACATTTAATTTTTTTTTTGACATCCAAGCTTTGATGCATCTACCTGTATTCTTCTGCCATGGTAATGTTTACTACAGCCTATGACAGAAAATTGTCTGTGCAGGTCCACGTCTTCGTATAGCCCCCATATAAGGGCACCTCCCTATGTTCGACATTTTGATGATTTTAAAGACATTATTCACCGGAATTGTTTCAAATTTCGTATTTAAAATTCTTAATGGATACTATAGTCTACGACAGAAAATTATATATGCAGGTTCAGGCCTTCGTTTAGCCCCCGTATACAGGAACCTCCCTATATTCGATATTTTTTATGATTTTAGCGACATTATTTACCGGAATGTATACTTCAACCTATGAGAGAAAATTGTCTATGTATGTCCACATCTTCGTATTCCCCAAATATATCGGTTCTACCCTATATCCGATTTTTATTATGATTTTAGCGACATTATTCACCGGAATTGTTTCGAATTTCGTAATAGAAGTTCCTGATGGGTACTACAGCCAGTGACAGAAAATGAAATTTTCAATATAACGGTACCTCCTTTTTCATGATTTTAGCTACATTATTCAACGTAGTTTTTTCAGGTTTCGTATTTGAATATTGTAATGGCCTATGACAAAATTTGCCTATTAAAGCCCACGTCTTTGTATAGACCCCAATATGACGGCGAATTCCTACATTTCGAAATTTTAAGATTTTAACAGAATTTGGACGTTTTTTTTTTTTTTTTTTTTTGAAAATTTGATTTAAAAATTGATTTGATTGATTTGAAAATTTGATTTAATTTAACACCAAAAAGTCTTCCTCTTAAAGATTACCGAGGATTGGCCTCAATATTAAATTTAAGGATTTCAACTTTTAGTTCTATTATAAAACACATATCCAAAACCAGCACCTTCTCTCAACCACAGATAGTGACATCTTCACCCAATATCAAAATTTTTTAATTTGCATCTCTCCAACCTAGACACCAACATTTGATCCAAAATTAGTACCATTTAGTAATTATAGTTCGCATTTGCAAAACCTCCACTAGATACCAACAAAGACCGCAATATCAAATTTCGGGATTCCAGCTCTATATGTATATTCGGTCAAAACCAAATTTAGTAACATTTAGTACTTTTCGTATAATTTTAGTACTCACTAGCAAATCGGCTCAATATCTCAGTTCTAGACATCAACAGTTATCGCAATATTAAATGTCAGTGTTTCAACTGCATTATTGAACCCAATACTAGATATAGTACTTTTCGTACAAATACAGTCCACATTTCCAAAACCAACACCATTTTTCAATGACAATTATCAATAGTGAACTCAATATCAAATTTCGTGATTCCAACTCCATTCCTTCACCCAATAACAAATTTAGTACCATTTAGTACTTTCCGTACAAATAAAGGTCGCATTTCCACACCACCAACAGATCTCAAACACAGATACCATCAGTAATCTAAATATCAATTTTCAGGATTTTGTCTCTATCCCTTCACCCAATACCAAAAATTGTACCATTTGGTACTATTTGTGCACTTGTAGTATACTACATTTGCAAAACCACCTCCATATGTCCAGGCTATACACAAACAGCGACCCTAATATAAAATTTCAGCTTTCAAGCATTATCTGTTCACCCAATAGCAAATTGTACAAAATATAGTACTATATAGTATTTATCTTGTACTTGCAGTACACATTTCCAAAACCATATCTTTATCACAGACCTACCACCAACAGGGACCCCAATACAAATTTTCAAAATTTTAGACTCATCCGATCACCCTAAATCAAACCGTTTAAATTTTAGTACTATTTGGTACAGTTCGCACACTTAGTACACATTTCCAAAATCACCTTCATGATTCTCATACCAAAATTCAAGTTTTTAGATCTATCCGTTCACATAATACCAAATGGTAGAAGTTTAGAACAAGTTTTGTACCATTTTAGAACTTTTCGTAAACCTAAATCCTGCCTAATGCCATGTTTACGTTAGAACTTTTTGTAGGGTTAACCTACTTTGAGAGGATTTATTTGAAGTAAAAGTAATGGGTATGACAATTTAAATCCAAATCCAGTGGGTTAACCCTCATATATATAAACGTACTATAAATGTCAACATAATCTAAGTCTGGGGGACTGTTGAATTTATCTGTTTACATTGACTTTATATGTAGTCAACTTCCATCTCTGTGTATGCGAAGTGTTGCCAACTATTAAATTGTGGTGAATACCATTGAGGTTGGTGTACACAATACTTTAGCCAAGACATCAATTCGTGTTTATGAGACCATGGCTCAAAAGTTGTGTTTCATTTAAACATCTATAGATTTTGATGTAAAATTAAAGAAAAGTTTTTTCCAATCATTTCAATTATTTTTAAAAATATTTTCAGATTTTTATAAGAGTTAGGAAAAATTTAATTTCTCTGAATTATATATAAATATTAAGAGTTTAAAAATATTTTACTTTTCCTTCACAGGTGGTTTCCCCAACTTGGAGTCGGTGAGTAAACGTACCCAAGGACGTTATGATCAACCATTCAAAGGTTGCCTCCAGGACATACAATTCGGAGCTGAGCCAAATGCATTGATCAAGGATTTCTCAACATATCAAGGTGAAAATATTGGCTCATGTGATCTTCATGGCGACGAACCCATAGTTGTGTAGAAACTTGATATAATAAAAATAACCAAACATATATATTATATATAGAACATGAAAACGAAGTATATGAAGAATTTTAAGAAAAAAAAAAATTACCACAAAAAACATGAAATGAAAAAAAAAAACAGAACAGAGAAAAATACTTAGATGGTTTTCATAACTTGCTAAATGAACTACAAACAAAAAATAAAGAAAAGTGAACTACAGAAATAAATAAATAAAAACTAAGACGACATATAAATATACATATATACTTATAATGAATTCAACAAAAATATAGAAACAAACAAAAAAGGGGAAAAGAAAAACTAATTTTGTAAATTTTATAAAGAAATAAAGAAAACATGCAAAACAAAAACAAATGATACTAAGCCAGGACGAATGGTCAGGCTAAATTTAACCGGAAGAGGAAAAAAACAAAAATATTAATTTTTGGGAAATTTCTTTTGGGTTAAATTGAGTTTGAAACCCAATAGAAAATGGATAACATTTTGGAACAATTGAAATAAAAAAATAATATTCAATAAAATTCAAGTGCTGAAATATTAAAAAAATTGAAAAAAAAAAATATTGAAAATAGACAACATGTTTAAGAGAAAAATTTTACAATTTAGAGAAAAAGATTTTTTCATAAAAAAAAACCAAAATACATTTTTAGCAAAATAATGCAAGAAAAAAAAAGAATAAATAAAACAAAACAACTAAGTGATAGAAAAACTGAAAAAAATGATATAAAAAAAACAATTTATTACTAAAACAAAAAAATATGTTTTGAAAATTAAATTATATTACATCTCAAATTTATTTGTGTTCACCGGAATATTTTTATTTTTTTAATAGTAATTTCTTTTGTTATTTGTTAAAAGTACATTTTGTTAATTATATGTTTTTGTTATTGTATTAATTCAGTTAGTTATTACCCCTTTGGGGATTCTACTTTAAAAAATGAAATAAACGAATGATCTCCCCCATATTCCAATGGCTCTCTCACTGTCTCCTTCTCTCTTTCTCTCTCTATCTCTTTAACCGCCATATGTTTTTTGTCAACTGCCTTTCCAGTCTGCCATTAATTATTATTAAACGAATGTGTTTTTTGTATTAATTTTAAGTAAACTTTAGATAAAAAATATTAAATTTAAAAACAAAAAAATATATATATATGAATTACTTTTTATTTTTAATTCAGCTAAATGGGAGAAAAGAAATTATTGAAAGAGAAAACACTTTTAAAGATTTTGATGAAGTATTTCTGAATGATATTTAAATTAATTCCAACATAACACAGTTCACGAATTTTTCTGTCTCTTACTGCGGACATTTAAAAAAAATAGGAAAAACATGTATTTCAAAATTTATTTTTATACCTTCCACCATGCTATGAAGGGTATATTAACTTGCGTTTGTAACTCCTCGAAATACTCATGTCAGCGTAAATTTCTAAGTCGATTTAGCGATTTCCGTCTGCCTGTCTATCCGTCTGTCTGTTGTAATCACGCTATCTTTTGAACGAATTGAGATAGAAGGCTAAGGTTGGGCCATGTAGGTCTACGTCTTCGTATAGCCACCATATAACGGTACCTTCCGATATTCGGTATTTTGATGATTTTAGCGTCATTATTCACCGGGTAGTTTCAAATTACGTATTTAGAGTTCGTAATGGGAAATACAGTCTGTGACAGAAAATTGTCTATGCAGGTCCAGGTCTTCGTATAGACCCCACATAACGGTGCCTCCCAATATTCGGTATTTTGATGATTTTAGCGTCATTATTCACTGGAATTGTTTCAAATTTGGTATCTGAAGTTCGAAATGTCTACAGTCTAAGACAGAAAATTGTCTATGCAAGTCCAGGTCTTCGTATAGGCCCCATATATCAGTACCTCCCGATATTCGATATTTTGAGCAGTTTCAATGGGAACTACAGTCTGTGACAGAAAATTGTCTATGCAAGTCCAGTCTTCGTATAGGCCTAATATATCAGTAACTCCCTATATTCGGTATTTTGACGATTTTAGGTACAATACTCACCAAAATTGTTTGAGATGTCGTATTTGAAGTTCGTAAAAGATGCTACAGCCTGTGACACAAAATTGTCTATGCAGGTCCAGGTTTTCGTATAGCTCCGATATAACGGTACCTACCTATATTCGGTATTTTGATGATTTTATCTGCATTATTCACCGTTTATTTCAAGCTTCGAATTTTATTTTTTTTTTTTTTTTGAAAAATTCCAAATTCGTTCCAAATAGTGGAGGGTATTCAAAGTTTAGGCCGGTCGGACTTACTGCTTTTTAACTTGTTTTAATATATATATTTTTTAAAGTCGAAAGAACATTTCCTATTTTTTGTTTTTAATTCAAGTTTTTTGTTCTCCCATTTAAGTTTAGCATGCTCATATCTATTTACGCATACACACACAGTTGTATGTGTATAAATAATATTTTTACTTAAATTTATTTCATAATTCTAAGCCATTTAGTTGCCTTGTAGTTTGTAGTCGTTACAAGAAGAAAATATTGAATATAAATAATTAACAACATAAAAAAGAACTAATAATAATAAAAATAATTTCAAAGTTTAAATAATTAAAAAATAACCCTACTTTGCAACTTATTCTTTTGTGCAAAAAAAATGGAAAGAACTTTTAGTATCCAGATATTAAAATATTATTAAATAAAAAACCAACTATCTTATACAAAAAAAAATTATATATATATTAATTGTCTAACATGGAATTTGAAAAGAAAAACGAAAAAGAGATATTCAAACATATATAGTATTTACCTATATACCACCACTAAAAACCTTAAAAAAATTATTAAAATATGAAATAGGAAATCTAGTGTCTGATGGTGGGAACTACTTTTTATTCTATCACTCCCCTGGTTTTCCATTTCATACACCATATCTAATTCTTACAGATTATGCATTTCGAAATAAATAAAAAAATTTAAAAATATTTTTGAAATTTATTTGTTTTGTTTATATTTAATAACCACTTTTCAAAATGTAGTAAATCATTAAATAATATATTGTTATGTATGTACTTATGTCCACTTCCTAATTTATTTTAACCCCTTGTTTGTATCATTTCTTGTTCACACTATACTTTTGGAAATACAAATAATGTAAAAACAAAACAAACGACATATATTAGATTGTAACGAAATATAAAAAGAGTAAAATAAATGAAATCCAACATACAATATTGACTACAAGATAAAAAAAAATAATACAAAAAAATATATTTATAAAGAACAAATATTTCTGATTTTGTGTAAAGGCAACTCTTAGTTATATTATTTGAAATAAAAATTAATTAAAAACCAAAAATAAAACACTGTTTATTATTACTAGGGCTAGCAAGTGCTAGCTCCTTCGTCAGCGAAAATTCCACATTTTAGAAATGCTCCATTATAGGACTTTTTAGTACTCATAATACATAATTTCTTTTTCGAAAAAATAATACCAAAATGTTAACCTTTACACCAAAGAGTCTTCAAAAGCTTTCGTTTGGAAGTTCACTGAGGAGGATATTAGTAAAAACACTGCACAATGGACACACATCCAATTTTTCGGTCCAAAACAATTTCAACGTCTTTATATAAACCCTGGAGCAACAGTGACTTCAATATCAAATTTCAGAATTGCAGCTCTATCCCTTCAGCCAATACCAATAGACCTTATCATAGACACCAACGGTGATACAAAATAATTACTTTTCGAACAATTATGGTACGCACTTCCAAAACCACTGCCATATCTCAATTCCAGATACCAACAGAGACCTCAACATCAAATTTCAGGTCTACAGCTCTACACATTCACTCAATATTAAATTTATTCAATTTCAGGTTTCAGAACTATCCTTTCACCCAATACAAAATTAAGAATTATTTAGTAATTTTCGTAAAAATATAGGATGCATTTCCAAACCAGCGACAAATCTTAAACACAAATATCATCATTAATCTAAATATCAAATTTCAGCTCTATCCCTTCACCTAATAGTACCATTTAGTGCTTTCGTACAAAAATAGTACCAACTCCAACTCCAAAATTTCCGAGACCAACTCCATTTATCCAGGATACACATAAACAGCGACCCTAATACCAAATTTCACATTTCAAGGACTATATAGTACTATTTAGTGCTTTTCGTGCATTTGTAATACATATTTCTAAAACCACCTCTTTATCACAAACCTGCCAGCAGCAGGGATCCCAATACAAAATTTAAAAGTTCCAACTTCTTCGTTCACCCCCTCAATCAAACTATTTGAAATTTCGTCCAGTTGGCACACTTAGTACACATTTCCAAATCCACCTTCATATATCAAACTTACTTTCCAACCTTGATTCTCATGTCAAATTTTTAGCGCTATCCGTTCACATAACTCCAAATGGTAACATTTTAGAACTTTTATGTTCTTGCAGTCCTGGATCAGACTCTCACTCCACATTTCAGAATTCTAGCTCATTCCGTTTGTCCAATACAAATATTAAATTTTTAGTATTTTTCGTATTATTTTAGTACGACGAATATCCAAAAACTTAACCTTATCACACCCCTATGCATCAAGACTGGCAAAATTTCAGATTTTAGATTCACCCGTTTCATCTGGACGGTAATTCTCGGTAAGTCAATCAATTATTTTACTGCTTTTTATATTTATAGACAGTGTCTTACCTAAACGCCAGGAATTCCTAAATCAAATAGTGCTCATTTCGTGAATGACAAAACTTAGCTCATGTCTGATTTGAAAGATAATTAGATTTATCCTTCTGTTGTGTGGCAGAATATGGTTGCGTATACGCTTGAACAACGCTTGATATTATTCCGAAATTACTCACAGAATGTATGCGAAAATTGCTTACGGATTTTGGAAGTAGAGAAGTACCGTCAGCTCCGTATGTAAACAAGGAAAAATTTCCCATTTAGGGGGCACAGAAAAAACCCATATGCATAATTTAACAAGTAAAAAAACATTAAGTTCGGCCGGGCCAAACTTTTAATACTTTCCACATTAGGGTAAAGTAAACATTAGGAGAAATGTGGCAAAAACCATTAAAAAGCCGAAAATCGGTACCGTATATTGGGCCTATACAAAATCGTGGACCTACACATACAATGTTTCGCCAAAGGAGCTAGAACCCATTATGACCTACAAATACCAATTTTCAGACAAATCCGTGAAAAAATGTGTCGAAAATCATCAAATTACCGAATATCGAGAAGGTACCGTTATATGGGGACTATACCAAAACGTGGACCTATTACAATGACTCGCCACACGAATTAGGACCCATTATGATCTACAACTACCAACTTTCAGAGAAATTCTTGAAAAAATGTGTCAAAAATCATCAAAATACCGAATGTTGGGAGGTACTGTTATATGGGGACTATATCAAAACGTGGTCCTATACATACAATGTTTCGCCAAAGGAGCTAGAACCCATTGTGACCTACAAATACCAATTTTCAGACAAATCCGTGAAAAAATGTGGCATAAATCATCAAAATACCGAATATCGGGAGGTATGGGGACTGTACCAGAACGTGGACCGATATATCTCATTTTCAATACCAACCATCCTAGACACAATACAAATTGCTCTGCTAAATTTTGGCGCTCTACGTCAAATAATGTGGGCTGTATCGTGATTTCAACAGACGGACGACAGACCGACGGACATCGTAAAATCGACTTAGAATTTTATGCTGATTATGAATATATATAATTTATGGGGTCTAGGTGAGGAATTTGGCCCAAGTTAACATCAGGCCATTTTTTCTTCGATAACCATGTAGAACGATTTTTTGTTCACAAAAATTGAAGAGGACAACATTTGGTTTGTACAAGACGGCGCAACATGCCACACAGCCGAAGCTACTCTCAATGTTTGCCCCCCTGCTTTTATAGATCGCATTATCAGCCGCTGAGCCACTTCTGAGGTGCGATTCAACACGCTTGGACTATTACTTGCGGGGGTGCCATCAAAGTGTTACGCCGACAAGCCACAAGTAATAGACGGTTCTTAGTTCATAAAGTGCTTAAAAATTGGACCGATAGTTGATTGATTGAAATTATTTTCCATTATTAATCGTAAGGACAAATATAAAAAGAAATTTAAGAAAATATTCAGCAGTTTAATTTTTATAGTACTTTAAAAAAATGTGTGACGGGCCCTGTATTATGTTGTTAGACCGGTTGCTGCAATCCCAATGGATCTATTGTAAAGACGGACCAGAAATACAGCTAGTTAAAACTTGTGTTTGTGTGAGTGTTATTCGCTGTTTACTGTTTTCGTTGAGTGACCCGTTTTGGGCTGCTTGAAGTCCAACTGATAGTAGTCTTGGTTAGGATGTCTTACCGCTGGCAATACTGTAGTACCACTGCTGTCAGGTGCTTCTAGTCCTTTTGGTCTAGTATGGATGTTGGGTTTGACCCCTTGTGGTACTGCATCGTATTAAACAAGACCACATTTGTACAATGGCGGTCCCACTCATGCTGTTTTATCTTCTGAGTGCTTGAACTTTAAAATGATTTCTCGGAGTTCATTCTATGGTTTCATAATATTCTATGATATTTCTAATTGTTTGGTGTACCGTACAAAATGTTATCGTTTCACTTGATTCAACTGGTTGAAAATTCCCGCTGTATTTTTATAGTTTTCTACAGAACTACTTCCTGCACTAAACCTGCCATTCGGCCACCACAAAAAATGCACAACATTAGATTTGCATCGTACTGAACAAGGACACATGTGTACAATGACGGTCACACTGTTTTATCTTCTGACCCTGAGTGCAAAAACATTAAAATTATTTGTCGGAATTCATTCGATTTTTTATAATATTCTACGATACATTGATTTTTTTGTGTACCTTACGAATTGTTATCGTTTCACTCGATTCAACTGCTTGGAAATTCCGACCGTATTTTTGTACAATTTTCTACACAATTTTCTACACAATTACTTCCTGTTCTAAACAACCTGACATTGGCCCTCCCCCCCAAAAATTCACAACATTAGATTTTTTTTCGGTTTTTCGTAAAGTGACTTTATTTTCTATTAAAGAGTTATGGTAATTATTTATCATAATTTTCTGGTTTTTACTCATAATGTGTTTGTTGTAGTTGTTGGTTGATTTAAATTTTATGTTCTGTTTGTTTAAATTATATTTAATATTATTATTATCGTTTCTTTCCTTTCTTCTGTTATATAGAGAAGAGGGATTTTGTTGTTGTTTTTGTCGGTTGTTCTTGTGTAGTATAACGTATGTTCTTGATGTTGTTCTGTCTGTTTGATGTTGCTGTTGTTGTTGTTGTTTTAGTGTTCTTAATCGGTTTCCTTAATTTTGCTCATATATTCATCGCATCATTATGATTTTGTTTTTTCTGTTTTGTTTAAATGGATTTTGGGTTTTTTGTTTTGTTTTCTTGCCTTACTTTTTTCCATTCTTTTTTAATTAAATTTAAATTTTAAATATTTGTTTATTTATAATTATCAGCATAATAATAAATTTTTCAAATCTCTCGTTGGAAATTTTATTTTCTGTAAAATAAGACATAAAAGGAAATATTTAATACAAATATTTGCGGTAGATACAATAAAGTAGTCTGACATACCTACAAAAAGACATCACTTGCAGCAATTGGTCGTCTGTCGGTTGTTTTCATTTTCATTTAGCCTTCTACCGGCACCCGCTCCTTGATTATTAGCTCCATCGTTTTTAGGTAATTTCTTGGCTAGAAGGGGGCAAACACAAATGGAAAATTAATTGTCGAAATGATATTCAACTGTGTTTTCTTTAATATTCACAACTTACCAATTGCCATGAAAATGTCATTCACATTCATGCCGGTTTTTGCTGATGTCTCCATGAATAACAAACCATTTTCTTCAGCATACTGTTTAGCTTCCTCATATTCTACAACACGGATATTTGAAAGATCTGCTTTATTACCAGCCAAGGCAATAACAATGTTAGGAGAGGCCTGAAAATAAAAACCAAGAAATATTAAATGATTTTAAATGCGAAAAAGATAAAAAAAACAATGGCAGAGTTTGATGACTAAGAGAAAAGGATGTGATGAAACACCTATAGGACGATAATTATCCAAGTTTGCTACAAGATACTCTAAATCAACCTTTATCAATGAAAACTCTAGAACAACTCTGAGATTAACATAGTCCAGGAAGATCCTTAGACATTAGTATTTTAAAAACTGGTGTTTTGGAAACCTTTATAGGCTTGGAACAATTGAATTCCGTTACTCCTTTTAATCCAATGAACTTACTGCGGTTTTCTCTAAATTTTTTGTTTCCCCTTTTTGAGCTGTTTTACTGATAGAAACACTGACAAATTTTTCACCATTTTGCGAAAGGAGGACTTATTTTAAACAATTTCTCTTGGAAAAGCAAAAATGTCTTATTGCTCTTCAACCTTTCTGGAACTCTATCGGAATAGTTTTATGCTTAGAAAGCAGCTGATACAACAGCTTTAGATGAGTAAGGGTCCGACTTGATATCTGACCACAATTTAGATCTTTAAGTCCGATTCATAGCAGCGAGGAGTAAATTGGGGCTGCAAGTGTCAGGGCTGTAAGACAAGACCTGCTCTCTACATTGAGTCCAAATATTTTGGCTGATGGTGAACCTGTTAATGATGACATCAGAAATCATTATAATTTCCACGACAACCCGATTGTCAACTCAGGATAGCTGTACCGACCGATTTTTTTTTCACAAGAAAGTGCTTGTGATTCCAAACGTGCTATTACAACAAATATGTATAATTTACAGAGAAGACTGGGTTCCGAAGCTACGAAGCTAAAAATTATTCAGTTCCTTCAGAATGCCATCCTGAGAACTGTACCCGGGTGATTTTCCATGACAACAGTGACCCATCCCCAAGAGAATACAAAAGCTCTTTCCAATATAAAAGCATGGATTTTTTAGTACCTACTTAGATGTTATTGTAGGAGTCATTCAAGCAAGTTTAGTATGAATAGGACTCCCCTAGCCAGACGTATGGGAATGCACCAACACGATCTGGAGTGACAGATCCAGCGTTTTACGAAAGTTATGTACCATCTACATAAGGAGATGAAAGTTCTTCACAAAAATCTATAAAATTGTATATTTTCATTGAGAAAATGATTTCACCGACCAGGCAGCCAGGAAGGACCTATACTATTTTGAAGGACTGGGATTAGAAGAATCTCTTCTGTAGTACTGGTACATATGTTGCCCTTATATCAATAACCCTTTTAAGCTATTTAAAAGTCGGTTAAGATGTACCAGAATTTTAAAGTAGCTCTTTACAACCCATGGCTATAAATGTGGTTGGATCATAAATTCGGCTTGAGGTCATTGTGCAATTGTGCATTTAAGCCATCAGAAAGGCAGTCGAACTGTTGTAAAAATTTGGAAGTGGGATTTTAGGACGTGGGACGATATCCACAGTGGTGAATCTCCTCTGGACGATTTGGGCATTTACCAAGTAGGATAAAGCCACCGGGCTGGTGTATTCTGCCCTAATCCAATTCTACGAGCGTTTAAACTTAATGATTGTTGCAGAGTTTTTCAAAAAGCCTACTGAAGTGGTAAGAGAACTTTGCAATAGCATAACAGGACCAGTAAATATATCTCGATAGTGATTCGTTTCTTAAATCTATGAAGTCAAGTGTTACTAAATCAAGACCTATTCTTGATTTCAAGAAAACCCTCCTTGATGTACGTGAATTCATTAAGCTTTCTTGGGCTACCGGAGATAGCAACATATTGGGGTATAAAATGGCTGATGAATCCAAGTCGACTGGTCTACCCCATTGATGAGACTGTCAAACCAACTATAAGTTTGGTCAGCTTTTTTAAAAAGTCTCTCATCGAAGAGGCTTATAGGAGACGACACTTGGAATCCAGTCATATTGATTGGCTGTATCAGATATCTGACCTAATCCTTACTACTGAAGGCTATGTTAACCCGAAATAAGAAAAAAAACTGAATGCAAAATGAATAAAAGGAACAATGGGATTAGGTCTGACTATTTTAGACAACAAAACAAAATAACGCTAAAGAAGTAAAAATTTCTCTTGCGTCTAATGCCATCCAGGGACGACTCAGCTTTTAAAGAGCTACAAATTGCCTCGGTAAAATACCCAACCCCGAATAAGTGAGTTGAAATCTATCGAGTCATACCAATTAAATTCAATTTTTCCTTTAATTACTTGCCACGAAAAAAGTCATATGTCCTTTCAAATGGCACGAAATTACCATCCCAGGAATTTTTATTCTAAAATTATCGTTGTCGAAGATAATGAAGAAATGTTAAATGTTTTCCTCTTTTTCCTTCCTGGCTTAAATAAGTGGTCGGTATCCGCTGACGGTTCTTAGAGAGCTACATCTTGCCTTCGTAAAGTATCCATACCTACTAATAATAGACTAAACCCCTCCATATACAGAAAATCAGGAGGTATCGTTATAAGTGAATCACTATTCAAAAAGTAATTTTTTTTGTAGGTGTAGATCTAACCTCTGAAATCCCAGAATATCGAATGATTTGGTTAGACATTCAGACAGAATCCTTCAAAATACCGAAAGACTATACCTTAAAGCGACGCAATATGTTCAATTTTCAAGGCTTTCCTTGTTTTATTTCGAAGTGTTGCAAACGATTCGCATTTATGATTTCCAGATGCGATATGCGGTTAATACACCACGTTCCAATAATTACAATATATCGATTCTGTTCACAATACCTCACACAAACATTTTTTTTTTTTTTTTGATTTCTTTACATTTGATCACGATTACTCTTCACAATACTCCCCCTAAAAACTTTTCCATACAATGTGTCGTAACATGACCACTGCACAGAGGAATGCCTTTCATTTGAAAATAAAAAAACGCAGTCTCGCCGAAAAACAAAATTCAATTAAAATATCAAAATTCTGCGCATTTAATAATGGAATCAATGAACTTTATGATTGCAGTCGACAAGAAACAAAGGCAACAAAAAATTCTGTTAAAATAACTGATAAATTTAATAAGCTGCAGCAATGGTGGTGAATAATAATAATAATAACAATAACAGGAATAGGAAGAAAAGCAAACACAGTAATCAGTGTCGGCACAAGACGATAATCTAATAAACACAATGCGATTTGTTGTTTTGTTTGTTGTTATGGCCCCCATTTTTCAGACATCAAACGGGGAATTGTTATGAGGGGTGGAAGTGAACAATTCCAATGAATTGGGAAAATAATACCAAATGCATGTTTTTGTACTCACTTGTTTATGCAGTTCCTTAACCCAGGTTTTTGCACGTTGAAAACTGTCTTGATTTTGTATATCATATACAACAATAGCGGCCTGCGCACCTCTGTAATACATGGGAGCTAAGCTGTGGTATCTGTAATTGAAAAAAAAAAAACAAAAGCACACAATTAGCCACATTGCAAGAGATTTTAATGCAAAATACCCACCTTTCTTGTCCTGCAGTATCCCAAATTTCAAATTTCACCACTGTATCTTCTATACAGATGGTCTGTGTTAGGAATGCCGCTCCTATCGTACTCTCCTGATATTCATGAAATTGTCCCTTAACAAAACGTAACACCAACGATGATTTGCCAACAGCCGATTCGCCCAGTAATACCAATTTGAATTGGCATGATTTACTTTGCGATGTACCGTTTGGACGTTGAGCTGTACCGCCACCAGCAGAGCCGCCAGAACGTGGTGTTGTTGCCATTGTTTGTTTATGAAATTTGTTGTGTTGTTGTTTTTTGGGGAGATTTACTGCTTAACTATCTAACGTCTTATGCTTGCCGTTAGATTGGAACAAAAAAATTACTTTACCACTTTTTTTGGTTTTTTTATTAACTTATGTATTACCACGTCGTCGATGCACAGACAGTGAGATAGTAGAAGTCAGGAAATAGAAGAAATCGAAACAAATACTTGTTTCAAAAAACGAAGAGTTTATTTAATTGGAAATATATATAAAAAGAAGAGAGTATGCGAATGTAATGAATTAATGCTGGTGTGGTAAGTATTCCTTGAAGGACGGTTAATCACACTTTCTTTGTTATAATATAACTGATGAATAATCTGAAAGTAAGAAAAAGAACAATTAGATTGGAATAATAAACTTTAAATATTTTATGATATCTGCTTTGTATTAAGTATATAAAATGACAAGAGAAAAATGACAATAAAAACATTCCTAGATTTGGGTTTAGAAGTGGAGATAAAACATTTCTTCACTTTTTCTAGTTTCAACCGAATTTTTATTATTTCTGCTCCAAAACTTCGTTGGTCATTTTACCAAAAAAACTTGTTGCCAATAGCCGTTTGTGGTCGAAATCAGAAGTTCAATTTTTCTTCAGCATCTTCTTCCATTAATGTATCCAGCCTTGGAAAAAAGCAATCTATCGGCAACCGCTGACAATTCCGTTCTTTAGAGAGCTACAACTGGTCTTATCAAAATACCAAACGCCCAAAAGCAGCGAGACCATAAGATTACCTCTGCTGACTCAAAGTATAAACAATTTTCTTTGTCGAAGATTATGAAGAAATGTTAAATTTTTCCTCATCACTTCCAATTTAGGAAAAAGTCCTTTGCCGGCCCCTCCGCTGACGACTCAGCTTTTAAAGAGCTACAACCTGCCTCCAAACCCGCAAAAGTGAGTTGAAAGCATTGTATTCCAACCGGGATATTCGAACTCTTCAAATACAATGCCGTACCGTAAAATGAGCGTGAGAAAACATCTATTTAACCCCACCACATCCTTCCACAAATTGATGCTGCCTTAAAAAGAAGTTAAAATATCATTATATTCGTCCGGACCGAAAATTTTAAAGCCTCCACCATGTGAAAACTTGAGTTATAACCAAATCGACTATCCACCTAATCCTGAACATTTAAAAGTTTCGTAATTCGGGGCCATACCTATATGGAATATTTTCGCGAGAAAGATCCGAAATATCAATTTGCAGATGATTTGATTGCAGGTTCAGGCTGTAAACTGTGGCTAAATTGTCAGTAGAATTTTACGCTGATAATGAATATAGCTTCAAAGAAGCTCGAAATTCTTTTCTTAAAATATTCCATTGCATTCATGTGACTTGAAGGCTCCATCCAACATTTCACAATGCAACAGAGAATTCAAAAGGTTTCCTTTCTAAGGGTTTCCTTCCTCATTAAGAACTTAAACAGGTTACCAGACCTGAAAATTCGTCCAATTTAAAGTTCATATACAAAAAAATGGCACATTAAAGGTCTCCTTACTTAACATTAGCAGTTTTCTTTGATATAAAGGGGCGGGGGGAGGTGATTTCAACAACGTGGGGATCCAGTTAATCCAGGAATGAAATGGCTGATGAATTAACTCAAACCATCGACTATTATGCTGCTTCAAAAGGCTCTCATTGAAGAAGCTAGTAAAAGATGGTCAGGTCTAAGAATCGCGGTAGGCATATTGCCTGCCCGCTGCATTATCAGATACCTGACCTCAAAATGGGATAACAATGATCCTGCTGACTACTGGAAATAAAGACGAGGTACGGACGATTGAACACCTGATTTGCAGATGTCCCATGTAATCAAACAGGAAACATATGCCATTTAGTAGGTGGGAGCTAGAAACCCTAACGTTCTCCTAGTCTTCTACAGATTTGCTAAAAGCATCTCCTTGGTGGTTTGCCTAGCCAAGAGATGATGCATTAATACTATCACTGCAACCCCTTTCTTCTTTTTTCGCTCCTATATTTCTTTCCTTTCTTATCACCATTCTTAGGATATTATTCCTAGGATAAACACAATGGACCAAAAGTACCCGAGTGAAGCAGATGCCGAAACCCGCGTAGCTGCGCAACCTAAAAAAATCCATTATTCTGTTTTGGAGAAGAAAATTTACCCTCTGAAAACCCCAAATGTGAAATTACAAGTGATTTGGTTAAAAATTGGGGGAAGAAACATTAATAACAATAGAAGCAGGAGATACCATTATCAAATTTCAATGTCTGCTCCAAATTCTGTAATCGTTATTTTAACAGATGGGCATGACGGACCTCGCGATAGAATTTTGCCATGAAAACAACTACAACTTATTTTATAAACATATCCAATCTGGCCATGACAATTGAAATCACCTTAATTACAATTTCACAATGCAACTGGGAGATATCTGCCCAAAAACGATAGGAGGAAAACTCTTCGCTTAGTACAAGGCCTTAGATGAAACATGGAGATCGAAAAAATCATGGAATCATGGAAAAATAATTACCTATCACATTTTAGTATCCAACCTTGCTAAGGACGATATATCTGCAGCTGCCGACTCAATAAACACCTAATTGGTTGACCTCGTCAAAGTGGATTAGAATTGCCACAGTGACCATTTTATTATCTCAAAGGAGTATATCTTCCCGTACTCCAATAGAGGCGTCCTATCGGCAACGGCTAACTATAAGTAACCCTTAAGGTCAACTGATACCATAAAAGTGAATAAAAAAACGATAAGAAAATATATTCCTCTTCTCTCAAAGATAAGGAAGAAAGGAGGAGGAGGAAGGTCAAAAAAAGATGTTGTACACATTTGTATGTGGAAAAGTATTTCGGACTCCATCGAAAACTACATAAGTATGAGGTTTAAAGTAGAAAAAGGGATTATAATGGCTAGATCAGGTGAATTACATGATATCAGACACACTCGATCATGCCATAAAAAACAAAAAACCACAACATTTTACTTCTTAACTCATTAAAATTAACAAGCTAGAAACAATGCAAGTCAACCAATCTGGGAATCAGGTCACAAGAATAAATAAAAGCTCCGCTCAGCAATCTGTTGCTTTGTTTTTACATTAAAATCTTAAACGTATTTACATTTGAGGCTGGGCTTCAAGTCTCAACTTTCTCCTCCACCTCCTGAGCTTCGCAGACATTGAAAAAGCTTTTTGCTGGAATTTTTGCTTCAAACACAAGTGTCTGTTGTCAGTTGTATCAAAGCTGCGTCATTAGTTTTGTTTTGTGTTAAGATTTCACATAGTATGTTGTTTGTGTCATGTTTGTGACTTGCCGGTCGACCTGCAATCTTATCTATCATTTTTTTGTTTTGCGGCATTAGTGATTATTTTGTACATTTCTAGTCTAAATCCATTTTGTGGACTATTTTTGTATGATTGTTGTTGTTTCTAGATATTATGGATGAATCATAAGTGTTTGCAGTGTAAACGGGGAAATCGAATCGAAGGTATTCAAAATCATGATGTCAGTCTGTTATGATATTGACCATAACTGATTTCAGACATTGGAAGTTTAGACGAAATATTGACCAAAGACTGATAAAGTAACCTTGAGCCATGAGGGTCGAACGGATTTCGTTGTTATTTTTTGTAACCATGAACAAACGAAAAATTTGTTATCACAAGTTATGCTCTGTTCTGTTTGACTAAGGGGCGTTTTTAAATTGTTTATGTTACAAAAATAAAATCCATTATCAATAAAGGGGCGAATGACCACCACCAAGTATTTCCTTTGGCTTTAAATATGGAGGATTTTTTGTTTCAATTCCATTCATAGAATCAAGCACACCTAAAATTTAGCTATAGCCCAAACTGCAATCTGAGAGCTAATATATATACTTTTTGGGTTCTTCAAGTAATATTTCGAGATGTTGCAAATGCTTCACCCGCATACGGAGCAACAACTTTTCCCTTTTTATATTCAATCCGACCATGTGAGTTGAAATCACATTAATTACTATTTCATTATGCAATAGTCCACGCATGGCCTTAGTCCAAACATGAAGGTCAAAAATTCATGAGATGAACTTTTACATCCTGTTGATATTCTGCAAAAGAACAAGTCTATTATTTTCTCAAAGTCTTTATTCCTGGATTCGTAATAATACACACACACACACAACGTATCCTAGGGTATACAGAAATAAAGAGGTTAATATAATTATGAAAATGTAGTCATACAATTAACTCAGGCATAGTTACACGTTATACATTATTATAATTGAATCTCATCCAATAGTTTGGTTAATGCACTCATGGTTATCACAAAGAATAGTTATACCCCCTTGCATATTTTGCGGACGGTTTATTGGTTTAACATATGCAAAACTTCAATGGTTATGCTAAACATCCAGGCATTGGATTTTCAGGCTCAGTTTAAAGCAAAGACTACGGAAGTGAATGTAACTTTTCGCGCCGGAATATCTTAGGTAGAAACCAGTAAGAAAAAGTCAAAAGTTGGACGGGCCGACTATGTGATATCCTTCACCACTATCCATATTTAGTAGAGCTCCCGTAACAAAAGTATTTATTTAAAGTAGATCATACCACCTATCAACATTTGGCTTTAGAGCAGTTATAGTTTGGTTTTAGATCTAAAACGATATCCATATCCAATTCTGAATCGAGTTTTTAATCTTTTATACCAATTAACATTGCCATAGAGTGCATGATATCACTTCGAGAAGGATTGTATTAAAAAATATATATCGGAGCCGAGTTCCACAAAATAAAAACGTACGTTCCGAAATTCACTCTATTTAGGCAGATATTAGCCATTATTTGCATAATAAACCTGAAATCGGATTAAGGATATATATGGGAGCTATATCCAAATATTAGTCGATCTCGATAAAATTTGGCAAAGGTATTTCCGAGCTCCATATAATATCTGGAACCAAATATTATTGTTGTCGAATGAATATTACGAATATGAGGGACTTAAACACCAAATCGGATGAAACATATAAATTAGAGCTATAGATATATCTGAACCGATTTTCTCCGAATTCGATGAACTTGCTTCTAGACTGAATTCGGTCGGATGTACCAAAATTTCGGACTTTTGGACAGATATTGGCAATTTGGTGCACAATTAACCCCAAAATCGGTTGAAGATATATGGGAGCTATATCTAACTCTGATCCGATTATCACCAATTTCAATAGGATGCGTCCTTGAGCCAAACAAATATTGTTTGGAAAGATACATCTCAATCGAAGAATAAATGTGAGCTGCATTTTGATAGACGGATTGATATGCATAAATTGACTGAGAGAGTGATTCTTTGAAGATCTTAAAAA